CCAAACAAAAGGCCTTCATATCTGCAAGGCTATGCGAAGTTAAATGGCATCCTTGAGCTTATTCTTCAGAGTATGTGAGAAATCTCAAATAACTGTCCTTAAACATCCCAGGCTGATTAAGTTCTTTTTCAAGAATAACTTACTACTTACTTAGAAAATAAGTAACACTAGTTAAAGCAATGAAAATGCATGATTAATTAATCTTTAATCCCTCTTTAAAATGTCAGTTGGGAGAGGCCTAGTTTAAGAACTGTGCGCATTCCATTTAGTTCAAGGTGGCGCAGACCTGTTCGCCGTATCTTCCCACAATCAGTTGTATAGGACTCGTGTTTCTATTCGATTTCACATGACGTTGTTTCCCAAAAGGAATTATCATCCAGACAGGAGTTGACTGCATTTTCTACCTCGCCCAAATCGGTCTGATCAACACCTCAAGTGGGAATCAAGCCCTTGAAGTACATTATATAATCTCGACATATTAATTGCTGACGCGAAAAATAATAGATTTTGTTAATTTCTATGGCAAATACCATTTAGTCTCAATGACAATCCCACCACAGAGTGTGATATGGAAAAATGTTTGGCCTTCCTCGAAATTCGCATCTATTTGTGACCCAAGGGCACTCGTGACGATGTAGCAGGTGCCTAACTTGGCACGATTTATACTCTTTACTGCTCTTCTCCGAGTTCGAGTCCCGCCGAGGTGACTGGAGAGGCCCGTTGAGGCGACGTCGAATCTGCAGTCAACTCCGGTCCAGCCGGGATGAAGTAGTCTCTTTGAGGTTTGTGGGAAAGCTCAATTATCAATGGGCAAATCGTCTTGAGCAATCAAATGTGACCATGTTCCGAGTCGTGTATTACAGACACTTATTTTGAGAATAATTAAAGCGGATCATTTTCTTCCGTTTTCGGCGACAAACGAACTAGCCTCTCCGCAGTGGCTGGCCACTGTTTTCGCCAGCATTACGAGCCCCATTTGCACGCCATCACTCTTGACTCGATCTCGCCTCGAACTGACAGTTGGCATGGCTACCGCAAACGGCGAGTCATGCCACTTGCCGCAACACACGCACGCATTCGTCGAGGGCCGCAGAATTGTGTCGGTGCGGGTCCTGTCGCACTCGCTCCTGCCAAGTAGCGCAGCCCGAGGCGAATGGACTCGGCCGCTCGCCAGAGCCCATGATTCCACGAATTCAGTGCTCGTCCAGACGAATGTCGGTACTCTGCACGAAACGCATTATTTTGTATAAATTCCACCCTCTTGCTCCTCCTCCTCATCTTCTACTTAATCTTCTCCTTCCTTTTCCTCTTCCTATTCTCTTGCCACATCCTCTTCCACTTTCTTTTCCTATTAATCGTTCACTTTGTATTCCTTTTCCTCTTGCTCCTCCTATTTACCTTCTACTTACTCTTCTCCTTCCTTCTCCTCTTCCTATTAATTTTCCTCGTCCTCCTCTTCTTCTTCTTTCTCGTCTTCTTCTTCTTCTTCTGCCTCTGCCTCTGCCTCTTTCTCTTCTGATTCATCTCTTCTTTCTCTTCATCCTTCCACTCCTCCCGACCTCGTATGCTTCTTACTCCCTCCTCCTTGCCTCGATGGCAACACTCCCGTCCTCATTTTCCATTTCCCATTTCCCATTTCCCATCTGCTCTCTTCCGCCCAGTCTGCCCCTCTGCCGTAACCAGTGCACTCTGAATCCCACCTTTACTCGTCTTTTCCCTTCCTTCCTTCCTGCCCGGCCGGACAAACCGACACCCCCTACCGTTCCCCCCCTCCCCCACCTTCACCGCCTTGCAGACATTGACGAGTGCGCCGAATTCGTCGAGCCGCCCGCCTGCAGCCGCGGCTTCGTCTGCGTCAACACGATCGGATCCTACTTGTGCGCTTGCCAGACGGACGGCTACTTGTCGTTGCTGGGACTCGAGCTGGTCGAGCCGACCCCGCCCGCAGCCTCGACGTCGACGTCAACGTCGATGAGGCAAGAGTATCAGCAGCAGCAGCAGCAGCAGCAACAAGAGCACGAGAAAAAGGGGGGCTCAGCAAAGGGGCTACACTCGTTCTCGCCCGCTCTGTTGCCGGGCGAAGCGGGCCACCTCCCCGCCGCTTTCTGCAAAGGTAGGTTGACCGAGCCGGCGCATCTGCTCGTGCAGGCAATCGCGAGAGCAGAGAGCGTCTTTCCATTCCATTTCATGCCAGCTTGCTTCTCAAAGGGTGGGGCGGCACTAGCCAAAACCGGGTGCCAGGTCGGTCGGTCGGGCGTTCGGACGAGGCATTTCGGGAGGGGGGGTTGGCTCAAATCGCTTGGACACGTGAGCTCTGGTCACGTGATTTTGTGGAGAGGTTGAACTGATTTCCCTTCCGAGCAAGCCTTGAAGCCGTGTTCAGTTTGTTGAGCTCACTTCCATTTCGAAGGGAAGTGTTGCGTGAAGAGATTCGATTGTAGGTTCCATCACCAGAAGACGACGGCCAATTCCTCTTGACCAACTGTCGGTTGGCTTGACTGTAACATTCATGCTGACACTGTTTCCGAGGCAATCTCGTTCGATTCCG